TTATTCAAAAAAAATAAAGTATAGTAGTCGATTGTTCAACTCATATGATTGTGGGAAAATTATTCTTCTACCAGTCCTTCATTACCTCAAACGAAATCGGGTGAATGCATCTCAATTACTCGAAGCACTATAATTCTTAAGGGGACTTTCATTTCTTATGAAAGTGAATGAAGAAGAGATTCGTTGGTCGATCTGACCGTAAGAAGAGGACGGATGAATCGCGTTGCTCTGCAGCCGTTTGGCTTTTATTCGACGCTCATGTCGACGCAGTCTACGAGACTTCCTTCCTCGTTTCGGGTGAAATGAGTGTGAGACCCTAACCCTTACCTCTTATAGAATCTCAGTTGAGCAAAATACAAAAAACCTTGATAGATATAGAACCGTTTGGCTAATCAACTTTCATACTGGTCCTGTTGCTTTTGCTCGATTGTGTGCGTGTTAGCGTCTATATGCAATACCGGTTCCTAAATCAGAGTTGTCAAGGGTTAAATCTCAGGTTCTGATCCTCAAGACCAAATGACCCAAGAGAACTCCTTGACCGAGACTGCGTAAGTCCGTAAGCAAGTATGGTAGAGATGATGAGTTATGAACGTGTAAGCATGTAGGTCAAATTACGAAACCACTTGTCCTAACCCTCCAAGGAAAGGCAAGACTGTGGTTGCGTAATCTGACATGTCTGGTTTGTTTGATGAGCTTACTCGAACATGTTGGACGAATGTGAGTAAAGTTAAAAGCATCATTGAGCAGACAAATTGAGTCGCCTTCATTTTGACGGCGGTTCAACACCCTCTCTCTCTTTCAATCTATCAATCAAGAATAGGTAATTCCCATTCAACTTTCTACCCCCTTTCCTCACATTCAACGTTTTTCCTGAGCTATTAATTTCAATATCCTTTCTTATCTTTCTTTTAACCACATACGTACCCTCATCAGCAAACCTACTAGTTTGAGAACATTTTATTTCATGTCCAGTTTCAACCACGTGTTCGGCCCAGCTTCGTTTACAAGCATTGTGTGTTCTCCCAATCTTTGTCGAAGAAGTCGGCATTTCTCACCAACATGACATCGACCACATGAGCAAACAACCTTGTGGCATTGTGGATACGAAGAGAAACTTGGTTTCGATGAACCTCCTGAGATGTCCATCGAATGATGGAGGAAAGGTCAGCACGTTTTCACCCTAAACGAGGGAGGAGGCCACCCGAAACTGCAATACGAGATTCCTCTGTCTTCATCTGATGAGATTCACCAAAGAATCTCTTCCTCATGCACTTTCATACAAAATGAATGTGCCCAGTTTCTATTCGTATTCACTTTATTTACTAGCCGGTTAGCCTGCGCAACTTGGAGCCGACTTGAATATATTGCAAGAATGAGCTCAGACCGAGGCCTCAAGTCAATTGGTATAAACCTACTTACAAATGAAAGATAAGTAGTGCAGTCGATTGTTATAGCAAATATGAGTTTACCTCATCGACAATCCCACCACTGAGTGTGATGTGGCAAAACGCCTGAGTTTTCTTGAAATTCACACTTCCCCCTATGGCCCAACGGCACTCGCGACTATGTGTAGTGGAGGGGTGGATGTTTCGAGATTATACACGACACCGCCATGATTTGAGTCCCACTTTCGCCTGGATGAGAATACCTTTCGAGTGATACAAACTACCAGTCATCTTGACCGAAAAAAGGTGTATACACCATTTTTTTGCTCTTCTAGACGTCTCGAAAATCTACTCAAAACAACGAAATTTATAAAGTATGTACAATTGCAGCCGGCCACTTTTCCATGTTCGTGTTTTAGTCAATTATCTTGACACATGCGGTCCTGCTTTGACAGCGTGAGTCAAATGACGCACGAAAACTCAGCAAGGATTCACCGGGTCGAAAACGTATGCGCATAAATCTACATGAGGCCCACTCACGAATGCCTTCGTCTCGCCTCTTCAACCGAAATGGACGCTACTCCAACAGCAAAATGGGGTCGGGTTGTTCGGCCCGAGGGGTGTCCTCGAAGGCGAGACGAGTTGGGCGTCGTCGAGAACCCTCGACCTGTTTACGCAACCGGCCCAGTTTGCACATGTCGTGGCGCCGGACCGATGGCAACACCTCGTGACGCGATCGCAGCCTCATTAGTCCTCATATGTTGCGCGGTAACTGGGCCGCAATTAATTAATCCTACAGCACCAGTTGACAAGTGGAGGCGGGCGCCTAAAGTCATGGCAACCTGCTTCGTCGGTGGGGTGTTGCATGCGAGCGTAGGAGATAAGCGTATGCACGTCGAACAACACACGCAAGTAGATTCGGCACTAGAGGCATGACACGTTTCTCCCAACCAATACTTTAATCATGTAATTGTCAATTAAGTAAACATGTGTTTGCCATTGCAAACTTTCTTCAGCTTAAACCGCTTAATGTCAGTTATGGATGCATAATTGCATTTCTTTCCAACTCAACTGGGCTTGACTGCAGTTTCGACCTTACATAATTGAACTACTCATTTATGATATAAGTAGTTTTCGATGATATCATTAATTTTTCAAAAAGAAATTATTCAACATAAGTCGCTTACGGTAATTTATGGATTTATGGTTGAGTTTTACCACAATGAGGTGATTTGACCTCGGGATACCATTGAATTCAGTTTAGTCCTGCCTCGCAAAAGCCAATCTCATCCAGACTGGTCTGCAGTTTCGACCTCGCCTGGGTCTCGTCAGCACCCCAGTGGGACTCGAGCCCGGGTCACGAGTACTGTGGACAGATGCGACCTTCAAGGCAAGTCAGGCCTTGCTAAACACACCTTTTATAGTGTGATTATTGATCAATTTCAATGTATCTAGCCTTCATGACTGTCAGCAATGGGTGAATAACAATTTATTTTATTTTAGCAAAGCCTCAACCATCAATCCTCAACAACACCTTAAGCATTTAGGGTGAGAAACTGGTCGGTGTCTATGTCAGTTTGGTATGGCCCACCTTTAAAGAAGAGCTCCCATTGCTGACGTCTGGCCAATTCGTCACGAGGAAAGCATCTTCACTCTTTGAGTGCGTTAGGATAAATGTTAGTCTTAGGGTTGGGGTACGATTCGGCATAAATTGTAAAGTTATGTTCATGTTTAGAGTTGTGGTTAGGGTTGGGCTTAATAG